AAAGAACTTCTTCTTCCCTGTGGGTTGACACCTTGCCCCAAAAGAACAATTTTTAAAAATTTACTGGCTCTAAGGCCATCACATTGAAATTTAATCATTATTACTAAGCTACAATCTCATTCTCATTTCCTTGCAGTCTCAGAATATCAGGTAGAGTGGATTATTTAAAATCATGGCTACTGTGGCAAATGTTTTATGATATTTCAATGTGCTATTTTTCAGATCTGAAATGGTCCCCAAAAGGCTCAGGTAGAGTTTTCAGAAACAGTGGCTTAATCCACTGAAGACTTTTGAGCTGAATGAGCTGTTAGGAGGTGAGGTCTGGGGCTTCAATCTTCCTTCCAGGCTCCTCTCTTGTCTCTCTTCTTTCGACTGGCAGGGGATAAGCAGCTGTCACTCATCAGACCCTTCCATAATGCCATTTCTTCTTTGGATGAAACAGGCATCTATGGATTGAAGCCTCTAAAATCATAGGCCCAAATAAACCTCTCCTCCTGTGGTTGGGATCTCCAGTAATTTGGCTTAGCAACCAGAAAAATGACTAAGACACAATATCTTCATTTGCATTTCACTGATTATTTTTAACACTGAGCTGCTTATGCTTTTTGGTATTTTTATTTTTTTCTTCTCTGTTCATTTATTGGATCTGTTTTCTTATGTGTTTTCTTTCTTAAGACCATTTTATAAACATCACTGTGTTCCAAAGGTATCCTCCACATTTGTCATAGGTCTTCTGTAATTTATGGGACAGCTTACAGAGTGAAACTATATCATTTGTAAGAGCCAACTCTGTTATCTTTTTCTTCAGAATTCTGAATTCTATGGAAGGCTTGAAAAGACTTTTCACTTGGATATTAGGAAACAAATCTTTTTGCTACTAATAATATCTATAAATATTGAGTATATTATCTTAAAAAAGTATGTGGAAAACTTTCAGCCTACAAGTATAATGATTTTATTGATTGATTTTAAAATATTGAGCTAGCCTTGCCTAATTCAGAGGGGTGTGTGTGTGTGTGTTGGTGAATATTTTCACTAATTTTCACTAATTATTTGTTAGGATCCTTCACAAGGATTTTCTTCTTTTTCCTGCTGTCTGCATAGCTTTGGTATTAAGGAATTACTGGCTTCATAGGGTAACATAAAAATGTTTCTTTATTGTCCATATCCTGGAAGAGACTACAAAGCTTTGAAGGGCACAAAACTTTGTACCCTTAAAACAACATAGCATTGAAGGGTACAAAATTAATTCTCTCTGAAAGATACTGTGTGATATTGGTGACAATTATTTGAATGGTTGATAAAATTCTCCATGGAACAGTCTGGATGTACCATGAAATCTTTTACTTAATTTCTGATAACAATAACTTATGGTTTCTCTCTTTGGAAGATATTTGTCCATTTCATAAAGCCTATAAATCTTTTCAAAGAATCAGTCTTTTATTTTATTTAGTTTTCTTGATGTTTTACTGCTTACAATTTATTTCTACTTTTTATTATTGCCTCCCCTCTACTTGTTATATGTTTATTTTACCTTTTTTTCTAGTTCCTTTTGGTGAGATCTTAGATTATTCATTTGTGAATTTTACATTTGTCATATATATTCAATGATATAAATTTCCCTGTCAGTACTATATTAGCAGTATCCCACAAATTTTGATATTTGTTTCATTTTTTATTTAGCTCAGTACATTAAAAAATTTACCCTCACTCTTTGACTTATGATTTATTTGGACATGCATTATTTTTCTTTATTTCATTAAGGTTTACATGGCAGCACATGATATGGTCTTTCTTGTTATATATATTCTGTGGCTCCTCTAAAGAATGTGTATTATGCTGTTGATTTTTAGAATGCTCTACAAATGTCAATTAGATGCTAATGGTTGATATTGCTTAATCGTTCTATGTCTTAGCTATTAAGTAGCAGCTCTGTTTAAAATTTGCATGACACACCATTTATAAAATTAAAGTGTAACTCTCCTTAGATTTTAGCACATGATAGAGTTGTGCAACCATGACTACAATCAAGATTAGATCATTTCTGTTATCCCCAAAACAAAATATTCTACTCACTAGCTGTCACTTCCCAGTCCCTTCCCTTGTCTCTAGACAATCACTCAGTTATTTCCTGTCATGGGAATTTTTTTTTTCTAAATAAAACATGTTCATACTAATTGTAAAGTCCTTAATGTGTCCAAAGAAATAGAAAACCTGTGAAATGATTTTATAAACTGACACCAGAAACACACTTAGAATACAATGTTTTTCCTATTTACTTTTTCATATAAAGGAAAACATGCGATATTTAAGCTTGTGTCTGATTTACTTCCCTTAACATTATGATCTCAAGGTACATTCATTTTCCTAAAAATGTTTCAAGTTTTTCTTTGTTTTAGGCACAATAGTATTCCATTGTGTTTGAATATTACATTTTCTTTATCCATTCATCTGTTGATGGACATATAGGCTGTTTCCAAGATTCAGCAATTATGAGTTGTGTTGTTATATTCATGGGAATACATATATCATTATTGTGTGATTTTTTTAAATCTTTGGCAAAGGTAACTAAAAGTAATAGCTGGATCAAATGGAATTTCTAGTTTTAGTTTTCAAGGAATGTCCATCCTGATTTCCATAAGTGTTGATTCAGTTGATGCTCCTACCAACAATGAAGAAGCATTTCTTTCTCCCCATACCCTTGTCAATACTTGTTACTAGCTACATTCTTGATGTAGCCATTTTTTCTGAGTGAAATAGAATCTTAGTTTTGTTTACATTTCTTGAAAGGCTAATGATGTTGAACATGTATCATGTATTTATTGGCCAACTGTATTTCTTCATCTAAGATATATCCCTTTGGGATTTAGCTCAGTGGTCTAAGTGCCTGCCTAGCAAGCACAGGGACCCAGATATGATCCATGTGCTGTGCTGGCCTCACCCTGGTGGCACCTACCTGGCCACCAAAATCAGGCATGGTGGCACATGCCTGTAATCTCAGTGCTGTAGAGACTGAAAAAGGAGAATCACTAAGAGTCCAACTTACATGGTGAGACCCTTTACCAAATATATAATTTTTTTAAAAAGTTGGAATCATATGCCAATTTTTGTTTTCTTGTTTTTTGTTTTGCATTTTAGGGAAGGGTCTACAGGGTATTGAGGGTCTTGCTACTAGATCTGACTCATAGTGATTCACCTGTTTACAGCTTCCCAAGAGCTGGGAATACAGGCACGCACCACCACACCCAGTCCCAATTGCCATCTCAGCATGCCCTGGGTGCAGGGCTGGCACAGCAGGCCCTGGGATTGAACCCCCTGCCCCTGTGCCTGCTTGCATGTGCTTTAATCTTCTGAGCTATTTTCTCAGACAGATAGTTTCTCTTTATCAACACGGCAATCAGAGTGGAGTTTCAATTTGATTGGCTTTGGGATCTTCTGCCACAGGGGTAGAAAGTGTACTCCCTGGCATCTGGATGGTTGTGGAGGAGCAGCCTTGGAATATGGATTTGGTCTCTCACATCTTCCATGTGGGAATTTTGCTCTGCTACCAAGCAACCACCATGATCTAAGAAGCTTTGCTTTGCCAAGTTCTTCCACCATGTTTTTTGCCTTGGAATGAGCCAGCCTTAGACTGGAACCCTGAGTGAGATAGAACTTTCCTCCTTTAAGTGGTAGGTGTTGGGTACTGTGTCTTAGTGACAGAGACTGATTCATGTTCATCTCTGAAAGATTTGCATCATTACACATAGAATACAGAATTGAAAAAGTTTTTCTTCAGAACATGGAAAAATTCTGTCCTGCTTTCTCTGTACTCCTCGGTTTCAGTGAAAAAAATACAAACAATTCAAGTTGTTTTTTCTCTGTGAGTGATGTGGCATTTTTCTCTGGCTACTTTCAAGATTTCCTGCTTGTCGTTAGTTTTGGCAGATTTGATTGTGATGTGTCCTTGAGTAGGTATGTTGGGTTTGTCATGGTTAAGCAGCTTTATTAGTTAGTAGGTTTGTGGTGTTTTTATTTTAAAAAATTCGTATTTTAAACTTTTTGTTGAGCACTTTTTCAGCACCATTTTTTGTTTTTCTTTAAGAACTTATGGATGATGAATAACTTCTGTGACAGTTCCATGTTTCTGTGAGACTCTGTTCACTTTGCTTCAGTCCACTTTACAAATTTGTTCATTAATATTAGCTGTAATGGATTTCATTCTGACATTTTATAATTCGTACTTTGATCATCTCTAATCCCCATTACCTGATGTTCTTCCTTTTTTTTTTCTTCAAGTTTTTCTTCTATTTTTATGTTATCCTTTTTTCCATATTCCATATGAGAGAAAACAGGTGACACTTATCTTTCTGAGTCTGACTTATTTTAACTAATTTTGTAATCTCCAGTTCTATCCACATTCTTGTAAATGACATAATTTTATTTTCCTTTATAGCTGAAGAAGTGCAATTAAGATACATAATAGATAGATGACAGACAGATAACAGAAATTTTCTTCATCCATTCATTCACTGATGGGCATCTAAGTTAATTCCATAACTTGGCTATTGCAAATTATGCTGCAATAAATATGGTTATATGAATGTCACTGCATGCTGATCTTGGTTCCTCCAGGTACACACTGAGTAATGGTATAGTTAAGTGGTACAGTAGTTGTAAACAAGGACGGTCTGCTTTTTGTTTCTCAGGTTGCATAATTTTGGTATTTTCACTTTCCTTTTCTTAATTTAGTTGTTCAGTATATTTTTAAAAGAATCACAAGGATACAAAATTTCCATTTAGTTCACTCTATCATCTACTTTACTTTTCTCAGGTTGCTGCTGGAGGAATCAGGATCTCCATGTGGCTCTAGTGACCTGGGGTGGGGCACTTGCTACCACCAGGCTGCTGGACAGAGGTGAGAACTTGAGGTTTCTGCTGGGCCCATGTGATTATACTGACCTGACTGGATGTGGGGGGTTTTCTTGCTTCTCAAGAGTTAGAGTCTTGGCTCTCCACTACACTTCTTACTCCTCAACCTTGAAGATGGAGAGGGATATCTCCCTGTGCCTGAATGAAGGCATATCATAGGATGAACTGTGGTCTTCTGTGGTACCACCAGGCACTGGAAGATGGAGTTTACCACACAGTGGGAATGAATTCCAGATTCTTGAATTGTTCCACTTTTACTTCCTTTTCTTGCTCCTCTTTTGCCTCCACCTCTTCTGCCTCTTTCTCCTCTTCCTCTTCTTCTTTTTCCATCTCTTATTCCCCTTTCTTTTTTCTTTTTCTTTTTTTTTGAGACAGGGTCATAGTATATAGCCCAAGCTGTCCTTTAACTTGCAGTTCTCCTGTGTCAACCTCCTTGGTTTTGGCATTACAGTTGCACTCCACCATGTTCCTCAGTCCAACTTCCAACACCACTCTGTGAAGTTCAGGAATACTTTGAGTCAAGGATGTCTGTGACATGAGGGTACAGCCACAGCTGGCATACAGCTGCCATAGAGCAGTGTGATTTGGGAATGTTCATTCTTATTAGGCTCTTCTTTTCCTGAGCACCTATGTGAAGTAGGCTTCTGTGGACCTTCTCCTGTCAAAGGCATGCTGAGTTGAGATTGCTGGTTTCTGCAATACACAATATAAGAAGTTACCTGGGGCACAAGAGAACTTACCTCCAACTCACTCCTCAGGTCCTAAATGCTTATGATCTGCCTTCACTTCTGTTTGTTTTAATTATAATTTCTAGGTCTTTTAGTTATTGGAAAGAATTCCAGAAGATAGAAAAAGCAATCTTTATTTACCCTTCAGAATTATATTGGCTATCTTTTGCTTTGTTTTACACCTTTTTAGAGACTGGGATGAAATTGTTGGTTTCTCTCAAAGTTTCCACTGTAGAGACATTACATGACCCTGTAACCTAATTACTCAGAACATTCAGTAACTATGGTGCAAATCATTCCTGGTTTAAAAGAATTAAAGATCACCAGGAAACTTATCAGCTCTGGATGTTTAATGAAGATGTCAAGATCAGAGGTTTCCTGCTTCATACATAGCAAGTCAATCATAAAATTCTGGCTTTTTAGGTCACTTTTTGTCCATGTTTTTTTCTTTTTCCTACCACACTGCCCTCCTGAAGTAGTGGGGCTGCAGGATAAGCACTTTGATTCTGTTCTCCCCATGCTTGCCACTGGGAATTTTGTTTGTTTATTTTTAAGTGTATTTCTCAGCCTGCTTTATGACTCTGTTTAGCTCATTTCCCTGCAAGGCCCTAGTAACGAGGGTAAGAATATTTTTCTCTCCCAAGTTGCAGGTGTCATCCTCTTCCAGTTCCCCAGTATAGTGTTTGGGTCTGAATTTGTGCAAGTGTATGCTGTGCTGACAAGGTTAAGTGCTCTGTCACCTGCTACTTGCACAGGACACCTTGAAACCAGTTCTCCCACTGACAGTTCTTGCTGATGATACACCCATGAACTCAAACTTGAGCTGCCTCTTCTTCAGAAGGGAAACACGTTTTTAAACATGGAGCAAATACGAGTTCCCTGATCATAGCACATGTCTGTGCTTGTTTTCTATCACTTACATAAATCTAGCAAATCACTTGACAGGAAAGTATGGCACATCTCATTTGCTTCCAGATGGGATGTTTTCTTTTCACTTGCATGTTCTACAAGAATGTGACAACAGGAAGAAGGAGGTGAGTTGTTAAAACAAGTTGCCTGCAAGTTGAAGAGAGAACATTTTTGGACAGATATTAGAATAAAAAATTCTGGTCTGAACAATATTTTTATGTAAAAGAATGTGATATAAGTCACAATGCAACTGGATAAAGAAGTATTTAAGGCAATATGTGACTTTTAAATTCAATGAAAAGCATGAATAGCCTTTAAAATAACAACATCCCACTATCTCAAATCTGCCAGTGCCGATTGAATCACCCCTCTCTTCTCATACCCAACATTCTGGTGAGGTACAGCAGATGCTAGGAACACAGCGTGGCTTTACTATGTCTGCTTACATTTATTTTTGTTTAATGATAAAAGGTAAACCATGCCCAGAAGTGTTCTCTTTTCTCCTTACTGAAAACACAGAAATGGAATTCAGGGTGGAGGAGCATCTTCTGTGATTCAATAACAATAGATTTTGCTCTAGGACAGTACATTGAGTACAGAGACACTTATGGGTAAATGAATTTAATTACATTTTACCAGTAGTGCTCCCAAAGCTTTAAGAGAAAATTTATTTCTCCATTGATTCAAAATTCTTCTATAGCAACAGTTTAGGTAACTTACTTAACTGCTATGTGCTGCATTTCTAGCCCAAAGCCCCCAAATTTACTTTCAGTATCTCTGAATGTGAGTGTAGTATCAGAAAGGGTCTTTACAGAGGTAATTACATTAGATGAGGTCATTAGGTCAGCTCTAATTCCATATGACTGGTGTCCTTTAAGAAGAAAT